TTGGCCGGGGACTTTTCGACGCCGCCGTCGTCGACGCGGCCCCAGACGGACCGCAGCGGTATTCGCTCCCCCGCGAAGGCGCCCGCGACAAGACTTACGCGTCCGGGCGGTTCGGGTCCGGTGGAAGGAAACCGAGGCGCGCTGGAGGGCACCGTGTCCGGTTTGGCGCCACGCGAGGAAGGGGGTTTTGGGGCAGCTCTTGGACGTGTTCGCGATGATGATGGTCGTGGACCGTCTGCTGGCGCTGCAGAGCCCTTCGTTGGTACCTATGGATGGGCTCGAGCATCTCAGGACACGAAAAGTTCTCGACCTCGAATGCCCGCACGCTGCCCGAGAAACTGTGTTGCGACACCGTCGGCGCCGGGGCTGCGCAGGCTCTGAGATCGTGGGAAAAGTGTGTCCTGAAGGTTTCGAGCCCCCCGCGGGTACCCATAGGGCGCCTCCAACCTCTAAGGACAAGAAAATATCGCACACTCGACTCACACCGCCGCCCTCTCGTCCCGCCGCCGAACAACCGTCGCGCTCGCGAGCCAACGCAATGATCTCAGCAGCCCAAATTCGCTGCCCCGCCCCGTCGAAGGGTTCCGCAGCCGCGCCGCGCCGCGCGACCCGCCATCGTTGCACTCAGCCCGCGCGCTGCGGCGTGGAAGAAGAAAGAAAACGCTAGCGGCGGCCCCGAGTAGTACGAGGACCTCGCGTTTCGCCTGCCACCCCATCTAGATTTATATCCCCTTGGACAGGCCTGCCTTCCACTGCACGATGCGGATCGGCTAGGATGATGGTGCCGCAGTTCGAGGCCGCACATCTTGGGCAGCTATGGCGCCCCCCAAGAAGGTGGCCCTGCGCCGGGCGGCCCTCGCGGGCCTCTCGGTCGCCGCCGTCGCCGTGCTCGGCTACCGGTCGCAGTTCGGCTCGCTGGGCGAGGCCGTGTCGAGCGCGGGCACCCAGCTCGCGGCCCTGGCCGGCGAGCGGCCCGACGACAACAGCGACACGCCGAGCCCCGTCAAGGTGCACGCCCACAAGGTCCAATCGACGTGGAACATGACGGACAAGAAGGCCGTCGTCTACGGCGACCTCGGCGACGACGACGTCGCCGCGCTCTTCAGTAAGTTCCAGGAGGACTTCTCGACGACCTACTCGAGCCCCGACGAGACGTCCGAGCGCTTCACCTACTTCAAGAAGAATCCTGGGCATGATCGACAAGC